TGATGAGAGGAGGCTCAAAGGGATTGGTACTGTTGATAGTAAGAGAGCCGCCTACAGTGATTCGATTTGAATGCAGCTTCAACAAACAAAAGCAAAGCAGTTATTGGGATAAGGAACTCACGAGAAGCCGGACTGACTATCAAGGTTGCCATTGTAAGAAAATTACCAGTGGCTGGAGGAATCAAGAAGAAACCATTCTGTAAAGAACATTAAACCGACTAGAATAAAATTCAAGAGATCGCTTACTTCAGGATAGATCTCTATATGCGGTGAATGAGGCCCTGAAGATGGATCTCCAAACTTCTCTATCAAACTCTCATTCACCCTGAAATACGAGATCTGGTTTGCGAATGTATCCACTAATGGACCCATCCCTGTTTTATTGAACTCTGTATAAACCTCATTTGACACGGTCACATTTCGATTTATTGCATCATCCGTTTTTGTTGAATTAACAACGAAAGTGTTTGCTATAAGAGGCTGGTCACTGAAATTTTGCCCAACGCTGGGGAGGTTGACGAGTGGAAGTATTCCGAGCGCGGATAGAGCAGTAGCGTTGCCAATACCGGAATTCAACAGAATCTGCGGGGAACCAATAACGCCAGCGGAGAGGATAACTTCCTTAGATGCGTTGATCTGGTGCAAGGGACCTACATGTATGCGCGAGATAGACTGACGATTCGGGAACGATTTATACCAGTCTACTCACCATCAAGATCTTGCGCAAATTCGACACTTCGAAACGCGTATACGGAAGAGGGGTTGTCTGACGGACTTGGAAGTACTCGAGCAACACGTGTGTTTAAAAGTACGTCTAAATTTTTTCGCTTTATAAACTCTGGCGCGAGGTATGATGTCGCAGAGGAGCTTCGACGCCCTTGGGTGGTGACGGTCCGCTGTAGCCATCCTACGGTGCAATTCAGTCAGCGGACTTCATCGTTATTAGCTAATAACTCGAAATCACCAAAACCCAATGGGCGACCCGAATTGACATCCAAATTGTAGTTGAAGATCCTCCGAGCTCTTGTGCTGCTTTTAGAGCCATAGAATCGATACTCTGGGAAAATCCATAGAGACTGACAGAATTTATGCCAGTGGTGCTATGTATGGCAGGGTTGAATTGACCTCTGGTATTGTGCCTATCTGCCGGGGGTACCCATTTCTCGTTCTGTGCACGATTGGCATGCATTGAGACCAAATTTTTAAAGTGTACGGGATATTCACCAGTGCAATAAAAGGCTGCATATTATCCCAAGTCCATCCATCGTCTCCAGTGACAGCTGCGAAACGGTCGTAGTCATCTGCTGACCCACGGGTGTAAAACATGCCGTCTGGAAGGAAATGTAAGTAAGGACTTTGGGAAGCCGCAAAAGACTTTTGAATGAGTGCAATATCAAGTGCAATATCACTTAACCGGAGCCACTTGCCAGGTAAATAAAAGGAACGGAAGGGCGGGAAGGACTCGAGGGAAGGCTCAAAGAAAAAGTGGACTGGAAATTCTATCTTCATAGCAAAGACTCACTGACGGAGCTGGTTCCCCCTAGTATGAATCCCCTTGGCATCCCCGTTGAGCGATTGTTCAGTCCGCTCTGGATAGTAGTCGTGTAGTTCCAGTCATATTGGGATTTAGGCCTGGTACAAAAGTATGGAACATCGATTTCGAATGCGTCGATGTTTCTGATTGGAAGGATTAGCAATGAGCTAGCTAACGGAATATTATTAGTTGCAGAAGAGGTAATAACTCACGTTCCACCAGCTTCGAGCAACAACACCGAGAACGTCGGGTTCTCCGTAAGCCTGTTTGCGAGAACGTTTCCTGCAGTTCCTCCTATCGAAACTAAGGTGTAGGGTGCAAGATACTACTATTCAGTCTGGACATACCTCCTACAACAATAAAATCATACTCCTTTGGCGGAAGGTCCTCGAAGCTGTCATACACAGCAGCTGAGCTTAATGAGAAGAGTAAAGGGAGACTGAAGAGTACCGAGATAAACATTTAGGGAGTGAGAAGTTAGGTGCACGATCTATTGTAGCTATATATTTCAACAGTGCTAGATAAATTCTGTTGTCCTATTCATACATTCCAAGTCCTGCTAATTTGGTCTTCTGACTCCACCGTGAGTAAGAAATGCTATATACAGTACACAGTAGGATTGGCGTAATTGAAAACAGCGGAGACACGAGTGGCGACGTGAAGTTTGAAGGGACTCGGAAGGGGAGAGGATCCCGGTTGTTCACGCGTTCAGAGCTAAAAACGTACTGACTCTACTTTCCTTTTTGGGATTGATCTGCAGCTTTGACCAGAACTCGATCACGTCGATTAGATTCAAACCATCCCTACATCAATTAAGAGAACGCGAAGCTAGATAGAAAGTACAAATGTTATGAATAGGAGAAGCGTAAAGAAGACTTCTATTCCTGACCGCTTACCATAAGAGAGACCCGGGAAGCGTAAGTATACAGCCTGACGATTTCGTGTCTCGTGGTCTCTAGCCCTCACGCGTATACACAGAATTTGTGCTGGTTAACTCGGCAGTTCTTCCTATATATCGGACGTTGCGCTTTCAAGTTTGGCTTTTTAAATGACATTTATTCAGATCTATAGTAATACCTAGTACTATAGCAGTGGTACTTAGTGGTAAATAGATCATACAACGGGGCATACCACAGCTACTTTAATCTATAGGCTTGATCGGCTGAGAAATTTGAACTTTCTGGTATGTCATTGCATTCATCATTCCAATGAAAGGTTTCGTTCCATCTCCCTAATAAAAAATCAGCATATTCAACCACACCCATTTCAAGAAGGGGTGATACGCACGAGTAAACTGTGGGGAAATCCTGCGTCGAACGGTATAACACCCTCCAAAAACTGGATTTGTTCCTCGCTGAGTGAGATTTTCAATGCCTGTACATTCGCTTGAAGGTGTTCGATTTTCCTTCCTCCTATGATAGGGAACACATATGGTGTCTTCTGCATCACATATGCAATAGCCACTGGAAAAATGTTTGATGAAGGTGAAAGTAATCTCGTGGAAGGGAAACGTACCGGCACCAATGTTGCTACCTACTCCGACCTCCGCGGCCACTTTTTCTAGAGCACGAGATACCTTCACTTCTGCTTCGTTCCTTTGCCAGTCACCCATCATGGTACGTCCGTTTTCTCCGCTTTCCTTGCGTCGTTGTTCTTCCGCATCAGTGCGCAATTTTCCCTGACCAAGAACACCCCACGGTGCCAGAGCCAAACCTGCGAGTTAAAAAAGATTAACAAGATTTATGCGTGATCTGCAGGTGTATGTACCTAATGAACGAGCCATAGGAATAATATCCCGTTCAAAAGAACGGTCAAGGACGTTCCAGAGCCCCTGGTAAACGACGAACGGGGTTTTTCCATTGCTTCGAGCATATTCGTTAGCTTGAGAAACCACCCAAGCAGGAGTGTCGGATATTCCCTATGGTAGCCACGTTAGGAATATAGAGGAAAGTTGTAGGGAAATTTACTTACAAGATATAGAACCTTTCCTTGCGTCACAAGTGAATGTAGTCCGTCCATGACCTCTTTGACAGAGGTATCGTAGTCCCACCAATGCACATACAGCAAGTCAATATACGACGTGCGTAGCTTTTTCAAGCTAGCCTCAACACTGATGTGCATCGATTTAAGGTTGTTTCCCGTGTAATTGGCTTTCTGGGCAATGGAGTCATTGCCACGTTTGAAGTTTGTTGTGAACTGTACGCCAAGTTCAGCAAATTGGACGGGCGATATAACTAGATTCGTTTACCTTTGTGGCGACAAAAAGCTGGTCTCTGATCCCTCGTTTTTCCATCCATTCGCCGATGAACTCTTCGGAAGATTCATCTTGATAATTATTCGCTGTGTCGATAAAATTACCTCCCATGTCAAAGTAGGTGTCGAGGAGCTTGAAACTGGCGTCCTTGTCCATCGAGCCCATGAAATCATTCCATTTGTCTCCGATGCTCATGGCCCAAGGCATAGAGGGGAGACATGCACTCCAGCATTGGGCGAAAGTACTCGAAGTACCCCGAGCTTGGTGGGTGGAGGAGGTGCTGTCTGAAAGATGGACATTGCTTTCTTGGAAGATGAGGTGTACTAGTGTGTTGTTTTGATTTTCCTTGTACTTTGAACGAACATCTTTTATAGCCTAGGTGAGACTAACGCGGCCTTTCGGCAATTCGTCGTGTCGTCAGTATACTGCCGGACTGTGTAATTGTCCATAACGAAACTTTCTGGCACTTCAAGTTCCTCCTCCGGTTTGTCTCCGGTGTTACTATAAGCGTTGGTCAGCACAGTGTGCAGTCGCGGATTGAAGTAGACTGTGATTCAAAGTCAGTGGAAGCTCCAGCAATTAAAGTGCAGATATCACTGGCATCGACCCATGAAAGTTGAAGAAAATCCGAATAGTTTCTGAAAGCCATCATCCCCAGCCTAGTCTAGTCAGGCTGGAGCAGTGGTGTTTACTGGTAAGTTGCAGGACAACGCTTCAGATTCGAATAATCAACAAGCGTCTGTACGTGATTGTGACTTGGAGTAGTGTTATTAGAGATGTACTGTTTTTTTGTATACTAATAGAATATACGCGTAAACTCTCAGCTGGAGGTCAGTCATGTGCACAGGTCAAGGCTGCATCAACAAGCGTTAACGTACGGACCTGTTTGTCAATGAGAATATCGCCCACTCTGTGCGGCCGAGGCTGTCTGCTTATATGTAGGTGCTTATGATGTATTTACATTTCTATACACATGGATATGTCTGTTTATAAGAGACTTATTCCGACTATCGCTGTCAATATCTACATGGGTTGTCTTGCAGAAAACTGTCAGGGTTTGATAAAAGCCCCAAGTTCAAAGAAAATAAACGCGTGTAGACAATCAATCGAGCCTCGAGCTCATCGACAACTGTACTGAGTTGGAATTCACTGCCATGTCAGAACGCGTTGCGGAATGAAAACTTTAGCTCGAAAATGAGTTATGTAATAAAATGATTCGACCCGGGCTCGAACCGGGGACCTTCTGTGAAAAGAGACACATGACTCAGGATGTTAGACAGATGCGATAACCAACTACGCCATCGAACCGATCATGGCTATTGGTCGAACATAAATGCCATCCATTGACAAAGATTGAATGTGCAATGACGTAAATGACAACCACCAACGATCACGATGGTCTATTTCAACCCGGAATTCTGCCCAAGGTTTTCTGATTCTTGCACAGTGACGTGAAGTAGTGAAGCTATGTTCCAGCCAATTTCTTCTCAAGAGGCGGCCCGGTTCGTTCGACCACGACTTTCTCATGATACTACTACTGCTACTCTCACCAGTACATTCACAAGTAGACAAGTAGCAAGAAATGCAAACCCCAACGTCGCTACAACCTGGCAAGTTGTTCCAGAGGACCGACATCAAAGTTCCCTCTTCTCGCTCAGGATGGAACCTAGATGCATGGATGTACACACCAACAACTTGCCAATCCCCAGTTCCTACTGTTATAATGTACGTCGATGCCTCTAAAATTAAAACTATCCATGCGCATTCTTCCAGGGCAAATGGTTTCGGTTTATGCAAAGCCCACGGATTGCCTGCTTATGCCGAGGAGTTCGCCGCATCTGGATACGCTTGCATATTATTTGACTACAGACGTTGGGGCAACTCGGGTGCGTATTGTGCACAGCGTGCAACAAAACAGAACCCTCAAAAACCGATCATCAACCAGATGGGACTCGTCGCAACTCGTTATACGTTTCAGAACAACTGGAAGACTATCGCGCAGTCTTCCATTGGGTCAGACAGAATCCCAATCTCGACTCGGATAGAATCGTTCTTTGGGGGTTTAGTTTTGCTGGTAAGCGTATTTCTTGCGTATCTTTCAGGCTGCTGTCTCAGATTCCACGGATAGGTGGACATGTGTTGACCTTAGCAGCCGAGGTTCGGGTTCTACTCGATCCCCTCCGTTAATGTTAATACAATTTCATTCCTCAAAACTTAGCTTGGTACACAAGTGAAAGCCACCATCTCTCAGAGCCCCCATCTCGGTCGACCTTTGCCTTTCCTGATGACGATAAATTACTTCAAGTTATGGCTTCACGGTCTCATGGATTTGTTCAAGCAAGTACTGGGATTCAGCTCACCTTGGTATATCCCCATTGTTGCCCGGCCAGGTGAGCTTGGCGCAGTGACACGGTCTCATGCACTTGAAGGTTACCTTTGGGTATCAGAGGGTGTCGGGTACGTGCTTGTGGGACACAAACTGATCTACCTATGTATTTTCTCTTCCCTGTAGCTTTGACAACCGGGTGCGATTCCTTCCTACTTACCTCCTTTTGGAGTCCTTTCTGACATGAATCGTTTTCAAGATTTCTGCATCCGCTTTCTTCCGTGTTCCTCCTTACAAGCCCATACAAACAGCCCATCTCATCAAGTGTCCTGTGCTACTCGTCGCTCCAAAGAACGATGCTTCGAGACCGGCAAAAGCTACCATTGCAGCCAGTACTGTCGTTCCTAATTCAAGTGTCTTGCATCTGCTTGGAGGTTGTATTCTTTTCTTTTCCCTTTGTGCATTCAGATTTCATCGTGCTTGTTTTTTTAGGGCACTTTGACATGTTTAGAGGCGGAACTGACTACGAGCTATCTATTCGATCCCAAATCCAGTTTCTTCGGCAGCATGTACCGCTTGTTAGCTCGTAGGAATACCCTGATATTGAATTTGGCTTTCAAACCACATACTGAAGGTGCCCGCGAAAGTGCTTAGCTCACGTCAAAACCTCGCATGATAACCATCTTTCTTGGTACCTGTGTCCATTGAATAGTACTCTGGTCTAGTCATACGCCGCGAAAGTTCCTTTTTTTGTTTTTGTTTGAGTGCACACAAGACGTCATGAACCTTCAGGATTGGGGACACTATCGCCAAGTAGAGAGCTAGTGTCGATCATAGCGCTGCCAGTGTTGCATTAGAAAAAAGATCGAACCGGCCTAAGAACGCTGTGCGTGTGGATGCTAGGTGCGTGCAAGGTGTCATTAATGATATTAAACCCACAGAACTCAAGACTTTTCAAGAGAATCTGTCTGCACAGGTCTGCACTAGCAGGCACTAGCCTGTGCGATAATGAATTCAGAACCTCCGATCAAAGTGATATTAATTGTCCTGACTGACATTTATTGACGTATTCATCAGTGATATGCGCGAGCTACATACTGCTACTTATGTTATATAGCCTCGAGCCAACTCGTACTCCCTCCAGACTTCTCTCGCTCAAGCCCCGTTCATCATGCCCGTCTCTCCGTCTGATAGACCTCAAGAGGGTGATATCGAAGCTGAAAAAGGTTCTTTGAATGAAAGCCCCAGCGAAGAGCTTCATTCTCTCAAGGGTATCGAGATAGAAAGTAGGGTTTGGAAAAAGCTCGATTCTCGCATTTTGCCAGTCGTTGCTTTGTTTTATCTTTTGTCCTTCCTGGTACGTCCGAATGAATGCTTATCGACTTCATCAGTACCAACGCTCTCTGCCGTCTAGGACAGGACAAACATAGGGAATGCACGTGTTGCCGGACTACAGAAAGACCTTGGAATGTCAAACAAGCAATATAGCATCGCACTTACGGTTACATATGTACCGTACATCGTCTCCGAGCTTCCGTCGAATCTCCTTCTCAAGGTGCGTCAGACTGTCACGACCGGAAGCATGACCTGATATCACTATGTCCAGGCCGTAGGGCCCAACTATATGCTTCCGACAATGTTAACTCTTTGGGGGATCGTGACCACACTTCAAGGTATTGTCACATCTTACTCGGGCTTACTCGCATGTCGGTTCTTCTTGGGCCTTCTCGAAGGGGGCATGTTCCCTGGACTAGTGCTATATCTCTCATACTTTTATCCTCGGTACAAGATGAGCACCCGGTACGCTAACAACTCAAATTTTGGTGCTCTCCTGAGATCTTGTTAGTATAACTGCTTTCTTTTCCACTGCCTCTCTTTCGGGGGCTTTCGGTGGTATCTTAGCATATGGTATCATCAGAATGGCCGGAGTGGGTAACCGACCAGTAAGCCTTCACCTCTTGCGTCTACTATTACAATTTCATGCCTCGTTCGCATCAGGGTTGGTCATGGATTTTCATCCTTGAAGGCCTCTTTACCTTTCTGTTTGGACTTTCTTCATTCTTCATTCTTCCTCGCTCTATCGAGGCTTGCTCGTTCCTCACACTTGAAGAAAAGGAGTATGCGAACAACAAGCTACTGCAAGAGAATCTTTATCCGGATGAAAATAAGTTCTCTTGGAAGGAGGTCGTAGAAGCACTCAAATTGCCTCACCTCGGGCTCATTAACGTCGTTTTCTTCTTGACTGGAACAAACCTTTTTGCTTTGGCTTAGTTTGTTTTTCATCGTGTTTCTGATTTTCGATGGTGTTAACAGATATTTCAATAGCTTTGCCCCGTCAATCATCGTAAGCCTTGGGTACACAGCGGCAACGGCCCAGCTGATGAGTGTCCCACCATTTGCGGTTGCTTGTGCGATATCTATGCTTGTGGCCTACCTTTCTGATCGCTATCAATGTCGAGGGATCGTTGCTATGGGGACTTGCATTTTTTGTACTATTGGATTTGCGATGTTCTTAGGTACCTTTTCCTCTTCAAGTATCGGGACTGCCACAACTGATATTCGCTGATTCAAGGGTCAAAATCAGCTAGTGTGCAATATGGGTCTCTGTTCTTCTCGATTCCTGGCGCATACACTTCAGCACCTATATTGGCTGCTTGGAACTCGTCCAATATTTCGCCGCATACCCGTCGAGCAGCGTCGATTGCGCTCAATTTCATGATGGCAAACTGTGGAGGAATCCTCGCCACTTGGCTGCTTGGATCGTTGAGCCCCGCACCAACTTATACCGAAGCTACGATTACGTTGCTTGTTTTCAGTGTTGTCGGGGGATTCACATGTGTTCTCAATATTTGGTATCTGTGGAGGCAGAATGTTGGGAAAGCAGGACGAAGAAAGGACATGCGAAGGGAGGATGAAGAACCTGGTCTCGGGAACCGCAGTGCTTGGTATATATACAGCTTATAATACCTTTATGCTTTACACTCCAAAATTTTGCAGGAATTACTTGTAGGTTGAATATAAGGTAGTACTTATACTAGTACCGTCTCTGAAGGGGCGGTAAAATTCCAGAACTTATTGGCTATTTATTTCCGGAGCTATTTACATCCTGAACTGTTTACACCAGTAAAGACGCGTTTCTAGCAAGTTTCTAGGTTATTTTGATACAGGAACGAGCGTCGAGCGTCTGAAATCATCAGTCCTGCTACGGTTGCAATACCACGTCTTTCTATGCTAAATTATGAGAGATGGGATCACTTCAAAGTAAGGCTGATAGACCTAATGGGCTTCAGTCTACCACCAGCGCATGCACATGGAGGACCAGTCCTCAGATGAGAGGGAAAAGACATTGAGAGGTACTATTCTGGGACCCAGAATAGGTACTAGCTACCATGCTTCCACACCAGAGCCTACTTACCGGTGGCAAATCGTTGGATTAATTCAGGAAGAAGCTGGCTGCCTACTTTCACTCCACATACACTATTGGAGCGACCACTGATGTTCAGCATTCGACTCATCCAAGTCAGACATTGTAACTTAAAATTTAACGTTACCGATCTACAATGCCATACACGTAGGAGGTAGATATAATCGAAGACTAGACTGGTATCTTGATATAAAGGAACGTAAATTAAGCAGGCAAAAAGATGTATGGCTCTATGTAGCGCGAAAACTGTCATCAGTAGCCGTAGCCAAATACGATACCAAAGAGATCTCTCCAACTTCGCCGAACAGTGAGCGTCGTGCCACCACCGTATTCGGAAATGAGCCACTCGAGGTATCTCTCGTCCATTGAACTGAAAGGTCCTAGTTCAAACGCCAAGATACTCTTTGGTGTAAGCTGTATCGTGCCATTTGATCGCTCGGGGGGAGGTGGAAGTAGCGATTCCAGAGTTGACAACTGGAACAATGTATGAGCATGGAAGGTCTGGAGTAGTGCTGATGTTGTTCGAAGCTGCGCGTCGTCGCGTTCCGGGGTATCGAT